CCCCAAAACCCCAAAACCCCAAAACCCCATTAAGAAAAAATCCTGCTCATTCTCAAATATTATTAAATTAAATTAATGGTAGAATAGACTCAAGATTAAAAAGCAAGAGTGAAGATTATCTTTGTAATGATTGATGGATTAGGAGATAATAATTATTACTATCCAGAGGATTAATAATGTAAGAATATAGTTTGAATAATAAATCAAAGTCAAGACTCCACTCTAAGTTGCAAATATTCCTGTTTTAAATGCTATAGCAAAGACAGGACTATGTGGTATACATGATCCTGTACAAAGTGGATTAGCTTGCGGAAGTGATACTGCTCATATGTCTGTATTTGGGTACAATCCTATTAAATTATATAAGTAAATTATTTGTTAAATAATGCATTGAATTAGTGGAAGAGGCGCTTTTGAAACAATGGGAGCTGGAGTTGAGATGTCGAAAGATGACATAGCTTTCAAATGCAATTTCTCTTATATCAACGATGAAAATGAGATTGTCGAAAGAAGAAGAGTAGATCGCCATTTTGACTGGGGCATCCCATTATGCGATGTTTTGAATGACATGAAAATTCCTGACTTCGAGGAATACATTGTAAAATGTGAATATGCAACAGAACATAGATGTGGGCTCAAAGTAACAGGAAAAAGTTTATCTAGCTTAATAACTGGTACTGATCCACTAAAGGATTATAAAAAATTGCTGGTAAAAATTTTCAAAATGTTTTATATTTAATTAGCAATGCAAAGCAGTAGATGAAAATAACAAAGAGGCTGTGTTTACTGCCAACTTGATTAATGCTCTGTCTTAGGAGATCAGAAAAATTCTTTCCAATCACCCTATAAATTTAGAGAGATAGAAGTAAGGATTGCCTTATACAAATTTACTTCTTTTGAGAGGATGTGGCTAAAGATTAAGTAAAATTAAGATATTTTGATAAACTTTAGATGTTGACTCATTTGAATAAACCTAACAACTTAAAGCATTCATGATTGCTCCAACAGCAATTATTAGAGGAATTGGTCTATCTTTTGGTGTTCAATTGGTTGATGTGGAGGGAACTACAGGATATTATAACTCTAACCTTAACAATAAAGCAATAAAGGCAGCCGAGTTTATTTAAAAACCAGAGTTTGACTATGGTTTTGTACATATTAAAGCTATTGATGATGCTGGTCATGATAAGAATTTAGATATGAAGGTGTCATAATTAGAGAAACTCGACTAAGCATTAAGACTTTTAATTGATGAATTAGGCTAAGCCTCCAATAAGGAAAATCAATACATAATAGCTGTTACTGGAGATCATTCAACTCCAATATTAATGTAAGTTAAGTAAATTTTTCATAATTTCTACAGCGGTGACCACACTTAAGAACCAGTTCCTATAGCAATATCCTTAATCAGCAATATTTATGAAGAACTTTCTAAAGCAGACGTTAACAATGAAATATAAATCCTTAGATAGCTTAAAGATGATGTTTAAGCTTTTAATGAGTTTGACTGTGGTTCGATTGATAGCTCCCTTGGCAGATATTGCAGCATAGATACTATCTAGGTTTTAAAAAGATTGAAGGAAAGAGTACAATAATTACTAGTCTGATATCTTTTATATTCTAAAGCTTATGCAGCAATTGGAGATATAGTTTTATTTATAATTTCTCAAAGCAAATAAATATTAATGATTCGGGGTTTTGGGGTTTTGGGGAAATTATAAATAAAGATCGGA